GTTGGGATTCGCATTCGCGATCAAAAGCATGCCCACGATTGCCTCGCGGCTCAAGTGAGCCGCCAAGCAGAGCGGCGTCATCCCGGCCTATATGGTCGATCAAGGTACGTTGGCGTTCACTAAACGGCATACCGAGCCAGCATGGTTGACGTCCGACTTGGTCTTTGTGAGTTGTACGACAGCTGAAATCGCATTCGCTTCGATGGCCGCCAAGAGCTCGTTATGGGCAGACATGACGGCGTGAACGTAGATTCTAGAATGTGTGGTACGACCAACAAAGTATTTTTCCGTTCTTGAAGCGGCCGATCCAACGTTTGGGCGGGTGTGCGACGGGTGGATCTTCAAACGCTGTTGTCTCTAAATGGGTTGCCAGTTCGAACCCCCAACATGTCCGTTCTGGGCGTTTCACCTGGCCATCCTCGCTTTCATAGTATTCGTCATCTCGCTGCATGACGAGTAATCACGCGCATGCGTTTGCGCGCCAGTGCAATGGCAGTGACGAGAGCCGTCCAGGCGCATCAGCCCCACCGACTACCTCGCCGCCCGTCCACAGGACTTTGAACCTCGGCGCGCGTCGGCCACCATCGTTTTCTGCCATGCCGCTCTTCGCGCCCCCAGCTCCAGCTCAGATGATTGCTCCTCGGACAACTGCTTCAGCTCAGACGACTGCTTCTCGGACAACCGCTCCAGCTCAAACAACGACGCCAGCAAATGGGGCTCTCGATCGCACAGCGACCTCGCCGCCTTTGCCGACGGTGCCGCCGCTGCCACCCACAGCAACATGTGGGATGGAGCAACACGAGAAATGGGGTACTGTCCTCAGGCACCACGTCCCAAACGCCACGGACGCCGAGCGCTTCCACTACGACTTGGCGCGGTTTCAGCGCAAGAACGCGGCGCCAATTCACACGTTCGTTCGGTTTCTGGGCGCGGATGCGTCCGGTCTCTTTTTCGAGGAGCCCGGCGTGGCTTGGAGTGCCGCGTTTGACCGCGGGTGGCCAGGAAGGGACGCTTCTTGGAGCCGCCTCCAGTTCCTCCGCGATGTCACCGACGCGATTGCGTTTCTTCATCGACATATGCGCGTCCATGGCGGCTTGACGCCAGCGCACTGCTTTGTTGACCGCCACTTCACCGCAGGCAAGGTGTACGTCGCTCCCGCAACCACCGCCATTTCGGCCTTTACGGCCCCGGAAGTCGGCGCCGGTGGAAGCTACGATCTGTTTGCTGCCGATGTTTATAGTCTCGGGTGCGTTCTGCGCTCGGTTCGGGGACTCGACATGTCGTACGAAGCAAGCGACTTGATCGAATGCATGACGAACATTGCGCCACAACAGCGACCGACGATGGCGACCGTGGTCCAGCACCCGGTTTGGTGGACGACGCAAGAGAAGTTGCGGTACCTCCAAGACATAGCGCGGTACGACGTCGACCATGCGCGCGTTGCGATCTGCAAGCGCATGCGACTGCCGTATCAGTGGCAGTCCAAGATACCGCCGGTTGCACTGGTCGCGATGAACGAGCACCGGACGTACAACAACACGGTGTTTGCACTTGTGCGCTGGATCCGCAATTTCAAGGAGCACGGACGCGACCACGAACCAAGCACGTGGTTGGCGCTCCACACCGCCGTTGGGGACACACGGATCGTCGACGTCACGGACCTTGCGTTTCAAGATGCTTGTCTTGGCGCTTTTGTGGAAAAAGCATTTCCCTCTCTTGTCCTCGACCTTTGGCGCAATCTTCCCGTCTCGTAAATGACGAAAGTTAAATGATGTTTGGCCAAGTCGCATGTCCGCTAGTGAAGCACACACAACACACGTATGTATGTAGCTTGAGCTTGGGACATGCAGTGCCGGCGCAATTCACTCTGACCTGTTTGGTGGAGTGCAGTGAGATGCGGAAGACCGTCTGTAGCGACGTTTGGTGCGTCGTTCTCCCGGCCGAAAAGACCATTGACCGCTTGCGGTGTAGTCTTCTGGGCAGCGAGAAGAGCTCGCACAATCTCCATGTTTCGGTCGTGTCCGAAGCCTACCTCAACCTACCCCTAGGGGTAGGTTGAGTTTGATGACCAATCATCAGTTCTCAACTTTCTTCATGTCGAATCCCGTGGAATGTACGCAACTGTTTACTCCACGTGGATTCGGCGCCCATGTGGTTGAATGGACTGTGGATTCGACGCTTGGTTGAACGTTGGTGTTGGGTTTGCGTTGTTAGGAGAGTTGCTCTGTAGCTGTCCATAAGTCGTATATTCAAAGAATGCAAGTGCCTCGTTTCATGGTGGAGAATACGTAGACGTGCAGTTTGGGACTTTAGGCCTTGGACGTGGTCGCTTGCTCGATGCGCAGCACAAGGATACGCAGCTTCTCGGGGTCGTCTGGAAGCGCATCGTCGCATTCGTCACAGGAGGTCGCCTTCATCGGTTGGTATGACTCGCAGCCGCCACAGAAAAGGTCGTCCTCAATCTCAAATCCGTTCTTCTTGGCAACAGCCAGACGCTTGAGCAGCATCTTGAGCTTGGACGCAACAGATGCGAGTTCTTTCGCGCAGCCTTGGCAGTGCGTCTGCAG